GTGTGTGTGTGTGTGTGTGTGTGTGTGTGTGTGTGTGTGTGTGTGTGTGTTGAGGGGGGGCTATTAGTGCCCTTACTTATTACTTCCATCTCCCATTCCCAGAGCTTTCATAGCTTCTCTGCTTTTAGCTGATGGGGGGACTGAAATTTGCCTCTTCCTGTCACCAAGCAGCAGCTCAGAGGAAACACGAGAATAATGACGGCGAGACGAGGCCTCGACCCGTCGGCCCATCTCCACAAGCATCGGGGGGTCAAACCTACAGAGGCTCTGCTCCATCCAAGTGTTCGGCTTTAACAAATACAGAGAAAACTTTTACCTTTGAAGTAGTTTGTAGTAACCTGTCAGACAGAGGAGTATACAGAGTAAAGAAAACAAACGGCCAGGTGTTCAGTGTTGAACACCTGCTGTGTATTTATACACTCGTTACTTTAAAATATGTGAAGTTTGTATTTTAAACGATTCCAACTGAGCTCCGTGCAACTATAAAAATGTTTCCTCTGCCATAATATTTCACCTTAGTTTTTCCAATTTGTGCATATTATGTAATTTAAATGAAAATTGGTGAAAACTTTACTTTACTTTGAAGTTTTAGTGTAAAAATATCCACCAGCTTCAGCAACTGCAGCGGTGAAATATTTCACACGTGAACCATTCTCTCACGCAAAACACTTCACTCATTCTAATCAATCTTAAAACACAAAATTGAGTACAACTCAGAGTTTTACAGGCACTGTGCTAAACTGTGATGTGGTAGTAGTTGAGAGTCGTTGGAAACACTTTTAGTACGACACATTGAGCAGTATCTTTAAACTTTTAATTGACTGTTGGTGTTAATCCTGTTTCCCTTTTAGCAAAATATCTCATGAGCCACCATGTGGATTTTAACGACACTTTAAACATTTAGTGGCTGTACTGATTCAAATCATTTCCAGATGGCCACCACAGCTAATTGACCTTACAATAAAAAGTGCTACAACACAATCAGTTTCACATATATTCAGGTAAAACTTGATGTGGTAGTAGCTGAGAGTTATCCCCAACTTACACTCTAGCGCTAACAGTCTTTGTTAAAAACTTGGCTACTAACTATTGGAGTCAGCTTTGTCTTTCTGTTAGCAAAATATCTCATGAATGTTTAATGAAAAACTCTTGGAACGTTACTGATTGATGTACGTCTACAACTAACTGTTCGATAGGCAGGGTCATAGGTGTCACAACCATTAAATGTGAAGGGGACGTGTCCCCCCCCACATTTAAAAAACGTTTATTTGGACCCCCCCTCAACATTTACCATGAAACATTAGTTCATTTGGCGCTGTTTCTATTTCTTCATGAATGAATCCAATACATTCCACTTGATTAACAGGAGAATACTCAAACCACTAAAAATACACTCTGGGTTTTACTGGTTACCTACAACTCTCCAGCAGCTGCCCACACAGCGAAATTGACTGGGCGGGAGAGGGGGGGTTAGGAACATAAACATATATACATGATGTTAGGTTGCTTGAGAGAAGTGTAGCGCTACGTCTGTAGCATCTTAGCTTAGCAGTAACTGTGATGCTGTAAGAGACGTGGTGTGTTCAGGTGAGTTAAAGTTAAAATGTCTTTAAAACCCACAGCTGAATTTACACAAACTTGGTGAGAAACATGTTTTAAATGTGTGGAATTAAAGGAAATCTAGGTGAAATGTTGCTTTTTTGTTCACTAGTGTGCACTGTTCTGTACACTGATGTGTGTGTGTGTGGGCGTATGCTTGCGCACATACGCCCACACACACACACACTCTGTGTCCCCCTCACATTACAGATGCTTCTGACACCCTTGGGCAGGGCGCTCAGTTCTGTTGACAGGGCGGGGCGCCCTGCTTATATAACAGTAGGGGAAACACTGGCTGCTGCAACTAATGGACTTTAGCCAACACAACAATGGCAGTCAGTGTTAGAGATTTTGAGCTAAAGTTTCATGTGGTAGTAGCTGAGGATCATTTACAACACATGCTCAAAGGAAGGGAAGTCTGATATTGTCATCATTGGATGCTCCCATACAATGATGACCATAAGTTCTCTGCATTTAACCCATCACACCTGAGACACACCCAGGTGGAGAGTGGGCAACTATGTAAGTGCCTGGGGAGCAGTTAGGGATTAGGTGCCTTGCTCAGAGACACCACGACATGTGGGAATGGCTGGGAGTCGAACCGTGTCTTTCTGGTCCCAAGTTGGCTGCCCTACCTCTACCCTATCTCAGCCCCCCTCTACCCTCTTAGCTCTAACAGAGCTCGTAATATTACATTAAGTTGTGCATAATCTTATTTTAAATATTTTTCCAAAACTTTTCTCAACAGAAGATAAAATCATGTTGGTTGAACAATTCCATCAAGGAGTTCTGTCTTTAACATTTCGTCTTTTGGGGCCAAATGATCGAATGAAACAAGTTTAGAGGAACAAATCTGCAAATCCTGAAAAGTCTCTGACTGCATGGATGGAAAAAGAGAGGAGTGGAAAACATTCAAAAGGCTTAAGACAGTAATCACGTGTTGCTTTTTATTTTGTCTTCTCGCTGCACGTTACAGCTCCTGTCAGTCAGCCGAGCACCTAAACGCTCCGGCTGAGTGTCAGATAGACGAGCCGGTTAGCCGTCCAGTTAAACTGCCAGCAACTTCATCCCACCAGCAATTCAGGCTGTCAGCCAGGCAGTCAGTCAGACAGCATTAGTATGCATCCTGCCCTCAGACTCTGCTCTCAGTTTAACACACGGCAAAGAGGGAGAGAGAAAACACACGGCGAGAGGCCACTTTCAAATGGGAGCATCCTCAAGGTCTGCTGGGAGTGACCTCTGAACCCTGCAAGCGTTGGTGAGCTAAGCGAGCCACGCTCATCCACCGGCCCCGCCAAGGCTGCAGCCCGGTGGGGCCACGAGGATCTCATTTAGGAGAGCAGAAAAGGCCAAGACGGGAAGGTGGTGGGCCAGGAGGGCTTCACTCGTCCTGGAAAACAGGCGGGGAGACGGTCAGTGGGGCGAGAAGACAAAACACCTGACCGCAAAAACCCCACAAAAAACAGAAATAGGTTTTATCTGGTAAAACAGCACAAATGCAGAGGGAGACCGCCTCCTTTTCTGTTTTTTTCCCCCATGTCCTGTGTGTACATGTGATAGTTTTTGTGCAGAATGTTTCATGAACCACTTAATGGATTCTCTCCATGCATGCGTGGGTTTTCTCCGGGTACTCTGGTTTCCTCCCGCAGACCAAAAACATGCATGTTGGTCTGATAGGTAACTCTAAATTGTCCCTAGGTGTGAGTGAGAAAATGAATGGTTGTTTGTCTCGATTGTCTCTATGTGTCCCTGTGATGGACTGGAGACCTGTCCAGGGTGTCCCCGCCTCTTGCACAGTGATTGCTGGACATGGACACCAGTGACCTCCGCGACCTGAAACGGAAGAAGCGGGTAAAGATAATGGATGGCTGGGTGGATAAATGGATGGTCAGATAGATGGATGGATGCTCGGATGGATGGTCAGATGGATGGATTGGTGGGTAGATGGATGGATGGATGGTCAGATGGATGGATGGTGGTCAGATGGCTGGGGGGTGGGTGGATGGGTGGTCAGATGGGTGGATGGATGGGGGGTGGGTGGACGGATACTCGGATGGATTGTCAGATAGATGGATGGATGGTCAGATGGATAGATGGTGAAATGGATGGGTGGATGGATGGTCAGATGGATGGGTGGGTGAATGATGGATGGATGGGTGAATAAATGGATGGTCAGATGGGTGGATGGATGATAGATGGATGGTCAGGTGGATGAATGGATGGTCAGATGGATGGTCGGATGGATGGATGGATGGATGGATGGATGGATGGATGGATGGATGGATGGATGGTCAGATGGATGGATGTATGAATGGATAGATGGTCAGATGGAT